GGGGATGGGGAGAGGTGAGGGTGTCAGAGAGAAGAGATAGCAGGCGTCTTTCACAGAACCAAGGAAGAGCTTTCAAAGGTGCTGGTAGTTTTGTTTTATTTAAAGAACAGAATAGAAAAAGGGAACAGAAGAGAAAAGCCTTCCTCTACCCACCAGCATAGGAAAGAGGCGGCTGGGATATCAGCATGGTTCCCACCCACCACCCCTTCCCTCTCTGCCCCGTGTCCACAGAAGGCCTGTGGTGTCTGCGGGACGGTTTCTGCTCTCCCTTGGCCACCACCGTTGAGTGACCCTGTCCCCTCCTGTGAAACCAGCAGCTCCTGGAGGAGGCCTGGCAGGTTCTGCTCGGGAAGGAGGGGGCGGGAGAGCTGGGCGGGGCAGACACTCCTCCCTGGTCCGGAGGACGACTGCAGGTGTCAGGGCCAACCCCAAGCTCACAGATTCCCCGAGTCCGGGAGGTTAGGGTCACATCCATGACAGCTAAACCGTCAGGACCATCTGGTGGAAAAGGAGCCACCTCTCTCCCTCCCTCCTGCCCTTGCTCCTTCCTTGAAGGCCGGCTCCCCTGCCAGCGCCTGTCCTGGGGAGAGCGGTGCACGGCCCACGCATCCGGGCATTGGGTCCAGGTGGGGCTGCTCTCACCGGTCTTCAGTCAAAGCTGCTGCCTCCAGAAAGCCCTCCCTGGTGGACCCTCTTCACTCTTTGATCTCCCCCATGTTGTACTTGTTACCCTTAAACCACAGCTTGGGGCCACAAGCCTGTGACTTCCCAAGTGCAGGCAGAGTCTGCTTGCTCCCAGCTGAGTGCCCCATCCTTGGCACAGGCCCTGGCATACAGTAGGCATCCAGTAAATACTCAGGGTGCACTCAGTGCCAGGCCCTTGGAGTGGTTCTTCCTGAAGGCTACAGTCAGGAGGGGGACGTGGGGAACCCTGCAGGAAGCAGCTGGTGGCCTGGCGTGATGTGCGGGGCAGGTTCACCCCACACCTGAAGGGCCCTCCACCCCCCGGCAGGCTGCCCCGTCTACTTTGGGCCACAATGGGGGCCTCAGCCTTCCCGCCCCTTTCTTGGAGCTGGTTGTGATTGAATCTGTCTCGTCCCCAACAAAGCCCACCCTGGTCCTCAGGATATGCAGTAGGAGGGGTGGCAGAGTGGAAGTGGAGCAGAGTGGGGGGAGTGAGGGCAGGGGGGTCGCCTCTCCCCCCTCATCCTGGGACCCGTTCTGGGGGCAAAGGGGAAGCCAAGGATCAGCCCCTCAAACAAGAAAAACTGGAATTTGCACTGAACTCAGAGAGGGTTTGCTGGGGCCTAGCAAGCCGAGGCCTGCCCCGGGCCTCTAGGCAGGTGGCAGGGCTCTGCCTCCTCGGTTCCCAGGGCGGCAGGGCGGGCCACCGCCTCCTCACTGGGCGCGCGGCCTGTCCTCTGCCAGCGGTGGCCACGGGTGAGGAGGTGGCGAGACCCGGGACAGGACGGAGAGGGCAGGGGTGGGGGGTTGGAAAGCGGGGGGAGTTAACCACGCAAGCAAGTCAACCTAACGCTTTCGGAATGTAAGAAGAATGTGTAATTTCTTGCAAAGGCCCCAGTCCGCACTGGTACACGTGTAAGCTGCTCAGCAAACACTTGTGAAAGAGGCAAAAAGCGTTTTACCCTCCGAGCGGGGAAAACCTGAAAGGCGCCGTTAGCCTCCTGGGCTACTTCCTCCCAGGCCATGTTAATTTGGGGATGAGGGGCCACCCTCCGTGGCTGGCTGTCACTGCTGCTTAGGGGTGCCCTGTCCTCACAGGGCAGTTGTTGGAGGGGGGCGCATCAGGACTCAGCCTCCCGCTTGGCCCAGGACAAACACGGTGGGGAGGGCAGATGCTGGGGCCACAGGCCCCCGCTGCAGGCCCACTGTGGTCCCCCTTCCTGGGTGGGCCGGGGCAGGGCCGGTGTGGAGAAAGGGCCCCAGCCTTCAGGTTGCTCTCTGGGCATCGCAGGGCAGATTGCAGGCACCTGGCCCAGTGAAAGCTGGGAGGGGCGGAGGGTCCCAGCACTGGAGGCTTCTTCCTGTTGGCCTGAGGTCCCAGGGCAAAGGCGGCTGCTCGGGAGCTGGAGCTGAGAGTGGTTTGCAAGTAAGTGTGGCCAAAGGGCCTCTTGAGCCTGAGGCTGCTGGGCAGAGGGCTCCCTCTCCGCGTCCCTCTTCCCCTCCCAGGGGCAGAGGAGCAGCCACACCAGGCCTCGGGCCTGGCTCCCAGACCCCTCCAAATCCCCCTCCCCTGCCCCAGGAGACTTCTCTTCAGGCTCTGGGCCTTCTCGGCTTGGAGCCTCGTCCTCCTGCTATTTATTTGTCTTGCTGGGGGAAGTAAGTAACCCCCTTAAAGGGAACGGGGGCTCAGGACGCAAGGAGCGCTAATGAAAGTCAGGATCCCGGCCAGGGAAAATGCTGTGATTATTTACAAATGTGACCTGGCCCGCAGAAAACCTTGGAAGTAGCTTCTTTCTGGTTTTAAAAAGACACCAACATTTACTTTGATATGTTTATATTATAGATATAATACATAAAATATTTAGTATGAGACTCTATGTTCTCCCCAGATGAAGAGAACCAAGCCATCCTTCCCTGCTCCCAGCCCCAGTGATGCGTTGGCCGGAGGCCACCTCCCTTCCAGACTGGGAGCCAGGGCCTCTGAGGGGGACAAGCCTGTGGGCAGCCCGGGCTAGAGGGAGTTGAGGCCCACAGCCACGGCCGGGGAAGGCAGAGGGGAAGGGAGAAGCCCACCTCACCTCGTTGGTCCCCCGGGATCAAAAGCAATCCCGAAACCAGAGGGAAAGAGAGCCTCAGCCCCTTCCCCCAGCTGCTGGCTATGAGTCTCACTTTGGCAAGTATCTGAGCAAAACCAAAACAAAACAAAAACCAAATAAAATGGTGGTTTAGCATAGACGTGCACATTCACATTGCACAAGGCACCGCTGGGACACAGAGAGGGCAGATACAAGTGTTGATATCGGCTGATAAAGCAAAATATTTTGAAAGCTTGTCATAACTCCGGTCCCTCCGGGATGGACTGATTGTGCTTCGTGTTTGTACGGCAACGCTGGGGACATACAGTACGGACAAGGCTGATGGCTGGGTCCCTTCACCCCGCTTTGCCCCAAGACCAGATCTCTGGGTTCCCCTCTCCCACCAGGCGCCACCGTTCCCTTGAACACATGTCCGTAGAGCTAACCCGTGACCTAGCTTTCCGGTCCGATGGGGGTGAGGAGCTCCCATGGGTCACCTGGTGACCCCCACTCGGTGAGTTCTGCCCAGAGGAGCCTCGCCTGTCGCAGGCTGGAGGCAGGGGCGAGGTCGGAGAGGCAAGGAACTAGGGAGCCTTCAGGCAGAACTAGGGGAACAACCTTAGGTTTGAAGCCCTAAGTTCTTATGATTCCTCCCCTCTGAAAATGGGGGCTGAGGAGCAGCTGGCTCATCAGGACCTCAGTTCCCTGAACCTCCCTCCTGCCATGGGCCTGCACCCCTCCTCCTCTCCCGGAGGGCCTGCTTCGGCCTTGGGAAAGAGGCAGGAAACCTCCAGATAAAATGACAAGGCACATATTTGCTCCCCCTACTCGGTAGGAATCAGAGCAGTGAGTTTGCATTTCCAAGGCACAAGGTTATTCCTTAATACTAGAGTCGCTGGGCTCCCAGCTCGGTCCCGGTTTCCCAGTTTCTCCCAGCTCGGGAGAAACCCCTGCCGGACCCTCTCATCTTAGACGCACCGAGTCTGGCACAGAGGAAGGCAGGGGACTCGAGGAGGAGGCCAGGCTTTCAGGCGGCACCGGAATCTCCTAGTCCTGGCTTGCACGGCCCGGGTAGCTTCGGGATCCGGCGACCCGAAACCACTCCCCGGGTCCACGCCAGGGGCTGGCCGAGGGCGGTCCCGCAGCCGGGCGCCTCACGCGCAGTTGCCCATGGCCTTGACCAAGGAGCTCTCTGGCAGCTGACGGAAGATGCCCCTCAGCGTGTCCAGTTCGCGGCTCAGCTGTTCCACCCGCTTGCGCAGGCGGTCATTGTCACTGGTCAGCTCCAGCACCTTCTGCTGCGTCTCCACGTTGCGCTGCTTGGCCTTGTCGCGGCTCTTGCGCACCGCGATGTTGTTGCGCTCGCGCCGCACCCGGTACTCGTTGCTGTTCTTATCCACCGACTTCTTGGCCTTGCCGGCGCCGCCGCCGCCCGCGCGCAGATCAGGGTGCGCCGGGGCCAGCCCCTTGAGCGCGCCGCCCGGGCCGGGCAGGCCGGCGGCGCCGAGCGCGGGCGCTGGGTGCGGGCTGGGCACGGGCGTGGGCGGCGGCGTGGGGTGGCCGGGCTGCAGGTGCATGGTGGTCTGGCCGCAGTGCGCGATCTGGAACTGCAGGTGCGGGGGGGCCAGGTGCGCGGGCGGCGGGTGCGCGTGCGACGGCGGCGGCGGCGGCGGCGGCTGGTAGGGGAAGAGGCCGGCCAGAGCCAGCTGCTTGGCTTCGTCGTCCTCCCGGGGCTCCTGCTTGATCACCAGCGGCCGCAGCGCCGGCGCCCCGACGCGCTCGTACAGCGGCTCCAGCCTGCCGTCCAGGTAGCCGGCCGCCGCGCAGCCGTAGCCGGGAGCCGGGCCGTGCGCCCCCCCGGGCATGACTGAGCCGCCGGGGCCCGCGGGGGCGCCCGGATAGTCGAAGTCGCCGCCGCCGCCGCCCGCGGGGCCCGCGGCCGCCTTGGCCTTCTCCTGCTGCCGGCTGTGCTGGAACAGGTCGGCCAGGAACTCGTCGTTGAAGGCGGCCGGGTCGATGTAGGCGCTGATGTCAATGGACGTCTCGTGTTCGCAGATGCCGCCCAGCGGCTCCGGGGCGGCAGGTGGCGCGGGAGGCTGCGCGGAGCCCGCGCCCCGCGGAAAGCCGAAGGCGGCGCTGCCGGGCGCGTGCGGGGCGCTCGGGAGGTGGCTGCTCATCGGGGGCCGCGGCTCCGCCTCGTAGAAGTCGGCCGACTCCATGGGGAGCTAGAGCCCTCCCGGCATGGCGAGCCTCGGCGGCCTCCAGCCTGCGCGGGGCCGCTGCTGCCACCGCCCGCCGGAGCCCTGCTCGCTCGCGCCCGCGCAGCTCCGGGTCGCGAATGGCCGGGCCCGCGCGGGCCCCGATTTTATACCAGGCGGCCGTCGCCCCCTAGAGCCCGAGCCCGCTCTGACCACCGGCGACGACGGGCGGCGCCTCCTGGGTCTTAGCGCCCGCCCCTGCAGGGGGGGTGGCGAGCGGGGCCGGAGCGCAGCGCTAGCCCGGCAGGCCGCGGGCAACGCCCGCTGCCTCCTGCGCGGCAGGCCGAGCCGTGGCGGTCGCTCAGAGCTCCGCCCCTGGCCAGGCTGTCGCCCCCGCTCACACGTGGTCGGTGGCGGGGCCCCCTCCCCAAACCACCCACTTCCAGCCAACGGCTGCGGAGCCCGGGAGCATCCAGAGGCCGTGCAGGGGTGGCGGAGGGCGAGTCTCCGTGTTGAGCTACTGTGGCGCGGACTCACTTTAAAAGCGAGAACCGGGCCTGCCCGGACCCCGCGGCTCTGGAAGGCTGCGGCGCAGAGCGGTGGGCGGTGTGTGTGTGGGGGGCCGTTTGCGACGCGTGGCCCCGCGCACACCGCGCGTGGACAGGCCCGGCGCGCGATGACTCTGCGTCTTCTATCTCTGATCTCCAGGCGCCCCCCGCGATTGCGTGCAGAAGCACCTCTCCCCGCTCTGCCTCGGGATCTTCCAGGGTCCCCCAGGCTCCGCGGAGCAGGGCGCTAGGACCCCGCGGGGAGCGGCCGCGGCCCGGGAGCCTGGAGGACCGGGTTGATCCGCCCGGGCTGGAGACTTTCTTTTTAATCACTTCTCCGGCTGGAGCGCGAGGGTTGCCTGGCGCGTGGGGCCAGCGCTGCCAGCCCGCGCGGAGTCGCCACCGTCTCCGGGCTCCGGGGACCAGCTGCGCGGGACACAGGGGCGCGCACGGGAGGGAGCGCGGAGGGCGCAGGCGAACTTGACTCCGGACTCCGATCCTGCAGTGGGGGCCGCAGTCCACGACGCCTGAAGCTGCCGCTTTCTCCCCCGACTCCCCATTCAGGTGGGCGCCGCCGGCGGGAGCGACAGTGTCGAGGGGCCGGGGCTCCGGGGCCGGGCGCCCACGGGGAAAACGCTGTCGCCGGACCCCGGGATCCTGCGGGATGGGGCGGCCAGACCCGGGTGCCCGCGGGGCGCAGCGCCGCTTATGCTCCCACTGCTGCGGGTGGAAGGAGCTCGCTACGGAGCGTCTCGCAGCCACGTGGCGTCCCTCGCGTTCTCCAAGGAAATCCTGGCGGCGGAGGTGGGGTGGGGCGGGGGGTGGCGAAGGATGGCAGCTGGGCCCCTGGGGCCTCGCGGGCTCGCAAGTCGCTCCCGCCTCTACCCCGGGTGCGAGGATCGCTGGGCTGCGCAGGTCAAGACCCCCGCACCGACAGCGGCTTTCCTAAGCCTGGCAAGGCGCCACGACCCTCCCAGGAACCCTCATGGAGAAGCAGCTAAAAATACCGCTGGGGAGGCCCGAGCTTCCACTGGGCAAGCGGCAGGCAGGAGCTTCGTCTGGGGAATGCATACTTCGCTTTAATCAAGTTCCTATTCAACATATTCCCAATGATTAATAGCCCAACTGCTTCATTCTCAGGCCAGAGCTCATAAACAAGATATTTTTAGCTTGATGCTTTTGGACTGAGGGAGTGAAAACCAGATACGTTAAGTAAGTAACCTGACGTGAGCCGAGGAGCTGCTCTGGGAGCCAGATGCGAGACTCACTGATGCACCACGCACCTGTGGCGGGAGACCCGGAGAGAAATCCAAAAACACCCAGAGGGATTTTCATTTTTTCTGCAGCGCTAAACATAATGGCTTTTCCCAGTGTAGGAACAAAGAAATGCTGTTGAAAATGCCTGTTCCTGGCAGGTACAGAGGCAGGGAGGAAGGTGATGGGTGGTTTCATCCGCAGAGTTGCTGTTGGCCTGTGCAGGGAGAGGAACTTCGCCTCTTAGGGGTGGAAGGAACTGCAGCGTGGAAATAAGGCCTTGCCCAGGAAGGGTCTGATGAGTGCTTGGGGCCAGGGAGGCCGGGAGAGTGGGGCTCCCAGCCCAAGGGGCTCTCACCTGGAGGGGCACAGGTCTTCTTACTCCACCCACCCAGGCTTGCCCTGCGCAAGGTGCTGAGTGCTCAGGGATGAGTGACAAGTGGCCCCTGCCTCTTGGAGCTCAGAGCACAGTGGGGGAGACAGAGAAGTCATCAGCAGTCTGCTGGGAGGAAGGGCCTCTTCACAGAGGGGGAGATGCAGACAGAGGGGGGTGGGGGTGGGACTTCATCCATTCATGCATCAAATGTGTTAGGAGACACAATGAGGATAGAGGACAGATAAAGGGACCTCCCACCCTGAACGAGGTAGAGCGCGGGGCTCTGGAGGGGGTAGACATCAGCTTTGGGGAGGTGCAATGTACCGAATTGTATCCCTCCAAAACTCCTGTGTTGAAACCCCAACCCCCATGTGACTGTATTTGGAGATGGGCTTTTAGGAACAAATTAAGGTTGAATGAGGTCATAAGGGTGGGGTCCTCATTCGGTAGGATTGGTGGACTTATCAGGAGAGGAAGGCCATGTGAGCACACGGCGGGAAGGTGGCTGTCTGCAAGCCGGGATGGGAGCCCTCACCTGAACCTGACCATCCCGGCACCTTGACCTCAGACTTCCAGCCTCCAGAACTGTGAAAGATGAGTGTGTATTGTTTCAGCCCGCAGTCTGTGGCACTCTGTTCTGGCAGCCTGAGCAGGCAAAAGCGGGAGGTGAGAGAGGACTTCACGCAGGAGTGGACCTTTGAGCTGTGCCTTGAGCGAGCAGGAGTTTGCTGGGAGGATAAGGGAGGAAAGCCTTTCTAGGGGGAGGGAACAGCAGGTGCAAAGGTGGCGAGGCTGTGCGTGCATGGCATGTTCCAATAACAGAGGACGAGATGTTTGACCGGCTGGAGTGTGGACCAGGCTGGGGAGGGCCCTAGATAAGGCTGGGCCCACAGACGGGGCCGGGTTGACGGCCAGGGCTACTCCAGGTGAAGAAGCCCTATCTCACAGGCTTTTGACCTCCAGTTTTTAGCAGGAGAGCTTTCTTGTCCGATTTGGTTTCCTGAGAGGCTGCTCTGGCAGAGAGAGGTACAGAGGGGCTGATGACCAGGTGGGAAACGACAGAGGCCTGAGGCCCCAGAGTGGGGGGAGAGGGCAGGGTAGATTTGAACAAGATGTTGCAGGACTTGGGGGCTGAAAGCCTGGCTTCTGGCTGGGCTTACCATCCCCTGACATAGGTAATGCCCAGAAAAATGGAGGCCCTTCTCCAAGCCCCTTGGAGGCCACAGGGGACTCACCCCCAGAACACCCGCCTGCTTGCTTTGTGGTGCTGGAGGGGAGGACCTTGGAGCAGCTGCTAAGATCCACCTACCAGATTCCAGGTTTTCCTCTGCAGCCTGAGAGAGTACCTTGAGATGAGCAGAAAGTGGTTTGCAGGGCAGGCAGTGGGGCTCTGGGGGGGCTGGCCAGATGCTGAGAGGTGAGGGGGTATCTAGGGGCTGGAGGCAGAAGTGTCCTCGAGCTGCCCAAGCCCTGGAATAGGAATTGGCCGAGAAGTCAGGGTGGGACCCCAGGGCTGGTGGAGCCACTTTCCGTGGGAGGCGCCCAGGGGGTAAGGGAGGTGCAGCCCGGTAGCCCGATAGCCTGATGAACTGAATGGACGCTCAGCTGCAGAAATCACGTGGGAGGGAGGTGGCTGTGGTTGATGCTCAGTCGATACAAAGCTGGTAATAAGAGAAGCTCGTGAATCCTCTCTGACCACCTTTAAGATCCTTCTTCCTTCTTAATTGAGGGCAGAACGGCGGTCCCTGGGGAGAGAACCAAGGGAGGCCCTCAAGTCCGCCCTTATCTCAATGTGCTGAGCAGGCAACTGGAGCCGGGGGCAGGGACCCAGGCTCTGCCACGTGGCCAGCTCCCTGGGGCCCGACTCTTGCCACCAGGGAGAGAAGAGGCATGCTCTGATGCAGGCTCTACTGTTTACAAAGGAGAAAAGCAGCAACAGGACTGGAAATAAGTTCATAGGTATCCCCGTGCTCCCGCGGGCTCAGAAGAGGCGGCTATGGAGAGGGGGAGGGCAGGCCAGGGTGTGAGCAGGCCAGCGGGGGGAGGGTGGGCAGGAGGCCTCGGGAAGTGTTGTCCTGAGTTTTGGATAAGCCAGGGTGAAACCTGGTTCCAGAATCATTTGCAACTCTGACCATTTTGAGAAGTTTATTTGACTTCGGTTCAGCCTTTCTAATGCAATGTGCACGAGCGAATGGATGCATAAGCTTGAAAATCAACCAAAGTCTGAAAGAGCAAAAACGGAACTAACTTTCCTGATTTAGTTTTCTAACTTTATCTAAAGCTGAAGTGTGGATGTAAGATTGGTCATTCCAAGGCAGGACCGATTAAGATAAGATAAAAGACCAGAACTAGGATTTTCCAGCATAGGTGAGCTCTGGCTGGGGGGGGCGTGAGTATCTATCATAGTAAATCTAATAATGTTTCAATGATTCAATAAAACACTCTCAAAGACCGTCCTAAAATTAGACAAAACAAAAACACTAACTAGTTCCTTTTTATTACAAAGGCGCTCATGAATGAGTTTTGTACTAATTCATTGTACGCTTTCAGTATTGACAGGTACGGCATAGGAACCCAGTGGATAATTAACCAAAGTCTAACCAAAAGGTTCTATCAACGGACTCGGACTCCAGCTCTTGGAGAAGCCATTATCACCCATGAGATCACACATCCTATCTCAGCAGGAGGCCCAGTGGTGTGGGGACTCTTCAGACTGTTGACACACCTACCTCATCATATGATAGCTGGGTAACCTTGGGTAAGTTACTGAATGTCTCTGAACCTCTGGTTTCTTTTCTGTAAACTGGGTACAGTTTACAGAATTGTAGGGATGCTGGAAGGATTAGGGAGAATTATATGTGCCAAGGCCCATTCCTGGCACGGTGTAGATGCTTGCTTAATAAATAAGAGCTTGTAGTATTCATTGCTCTCCTGGCCTCCCCATAAGCACGCTTTTGAGGTTCTATGTTTCCCAGAAACTTTGAATATTAAGCAACTCATTTCAACATATAGTTACTGAATGTCTGGTATCATATTAGACCAGGGTTCTCAGTGTTTTCTAGGGGAAAGCACCTAGAAATTACGGTCCTCTCTGCAGAACATTCCAAGGCATAATTAAGTCTGTCATCATAAGCTAGAAATCATTTGACCATTAGGAAATATGACTATATTGGATGTATACCATGTAAACTCACAAGCATGGGTACTCAGGCCTATAAAAAATCCACACCGTCAAATTCATGAGAATCAGCCGTTTCCAGTTTTCTCTAATATTCATCTACTATGAATATAATACATGTATGATTTCATTTGTTTTTCTGCTTTGTTTATTTTATTTGCTAGCCTCTGCTAGCAGATAAGCAGTAGCAGGCACCAAAGATTCTAGAAAAAGAAAATTGAGTCAAAATTTAAATTTCAGAAAATTCTATCCATTATCTTATTATTATTATTTTGGCAAATTGGGAAAAGCCTTCTATTCTATTTTGGTGGGAAACTCGTTTGGTAAATGATGGGCCCCCAGACCCCCCATCCAGCATTTGGGGAACACTCAGAGAGCAGGCAGTGTAGGCGGCAGGCCCACCCCACGCTTCCGTGGGATCTGAGACAAGAATACAAAAGGCAACCCCCAGACCATCTGTTTAAATATTTAAAGTCACTAAAAGATAAAAGAAGACAAAAAAAAAAATTAAAAGTTACCAATCAAACTAAGAAACTGTTAGATAAACTGTGTTCTACCTTCCTGCCTCAACAAATATATCTTCTTAATGTCCTAGAAGACCAGATTTAAATTTAGAGTTCGATTCTGAAACGTGGTGGGCTGGGGATAGCCAGCCACCCTCCTTCCCTTCCCGTGGGTCCTCCTCCCACCCGCAGGGTCCTTAGGCAGGCAGGTGTAGACAGGCAGGTGTAGACTCCCAGCACAGGGCTCAAATGCTGCCTCTACCCTGTGAAAATTGCCATACCCTCCTGCTTGTCACCCTTGGGCCTTGTGCACTCCGGTGAAGAGGCCCATGTAGGCCCAGACAGCTGGTTCTGGGCTGTTGGGCAGGAGATTCCTTGGCCCGAGCAGAGGAGAGTAGCCAGAGGGCATGAGTGGGGGCCTCTACTGTGGGGGTCTAGCGCCAGGGCCCTCCTGCCTGAGTCTAAGGGTGGCACTGGGCTACCTTAGGCAGGGCCCCAGTGTCCCGGGCAGGCCAGCACTCATAGTGCAAGCAGGGGAATGGTGACCCCCTGGTCCCAGCCTTGTTTGTGGTGCCTGGTCCTGCCTCTGTTGGAGGACATGGCAGTTGGCAATAATCCCACGTGGGTGTCCCGGATTCATCCCTTCCATCCATGCCACCAGCCACACCCTGCTCCCAGCCACAGGTTTCTCACCTGGGCCACTGTGACAGCCCCTGCCTGGTCTCCCTGCAGCCTTCCTTACCTGCCAGCTCTCTCCACAAAGTGGTCTGAGTTATCCTTTAAACGTGCACTCAGATCACGCCCCCTGCCCACTGAAACCCTCCTGTGACCACCCGTTGCCTGTGAAAGAAAACCCAAATGGATCCGCCTGGCCACAGGCCCGGCCTCAACCGGCCCTCGCCTCTCCCCATGCCTCTCTGTGACTCCCCACGACGCCCTGCCAAGCACAGCGTCTCCCAGCCACGGGGCATTGCACTTTGCTCTTCTTGCTCCCTGGAACGTTCTTCCCAGGTTGGCACTACTCCTTCTTGACATTTGAGTCTCACCTTCGCAGAGAGGTTCCTCCTGGGACGTACCACGCACTGCCCGCCCCCTCCCTTCGCTCCTCAGGCCATTGTGTATTCTGTTTTCCTCCTGGCGCTCTCTGAAAAATGGTCTTGTTTACTTATTTCACTAGTTCCTTATCTGCCTTCCCCCGCTAGATGCCAGCTCCACAAAGGCAGGGACCTTGTCTGTCCTGTTCTGCCTATTTCCAGAGCTAGGACAGGCCTTGGCCTACGGGAGAGCCTCAAATATTTGTTGAATGAACACAAAATGGATTCTACTGAAGAAAACTGCTACCCAACCACCCTCCTAGAACTGAGCTTGTTCCAAAGCTGCTCAAAGGTGGCCTCAAAGGATACAGAAGAAGACCCAACTTACCCCCTGGGCCAGGGGTCCCCAGGGCAGACCCAATCCTGAGCCTATTGAAGCTGTTCCAGGCAAGACTGCCAGGGCCCGGAGAGTCTGCCCAGCGCTGTTGGGCTAAGTCGAAAGAGGCCCCATCTGGGCAGATGTGGCCCCCAGGGGCTTGGCTGAGCAGGACACGTGGGAAGAAAAAGGGCTCCTTTGTCTGGGGAGATGCAGTCCAGCCAGGACACAAGGCTTGGTGAGTAGAGACTCCCTCCGCCGTGGCTCCAGAGCACCCCCTATCTGTGGGGCACTGCTGGGACGGTGCCCAGGAGAGACAGACTTAGCCCTTGGACATGGCTGGACATCAGCTCCACCTGGGAAAATGGCCCGGCCTCGCAGCAGCCCCATGGGGCAGGTAGGGGCTGCGCCAGCCTGTGGACCCGCGGCCCCCACTGCTCAAAGAGCCCACTCCTGTGCACCCACCACTTCCTCTCCTTGCTGATTCAAGGACTTAGGCCTCAAGGTACATCTTTTTAAAAAATCCTAAGTAAAATAGGAAACCAAATCTTTTGAAAAATCAGAATAAGAGTCTTTAGGGGCTGGCTGCATGAAGGGCCCTAATCTAGCTCTCTTTCCTTGTGATCCTCCTCAACCCCCCCAAGTCTAAGCCCCTCAACACTGCGTAAAATGTCTTTCAAGTGGAGACATCGAAGCTACGGATTTCAAAAGACCAGATCTAGTCTAGCACATTATTTGGGGCTAGATTTTTCCCAACAGAAGCCGGTAGCAGGTCCTGCCAAGGGCTGCAGCAATACACTGTCAACTTACAGGTTAAAAAACCAAACCGACACCCAGGATAAATCCCTAACTGAAACAAAGGCAACCTGCAAAACAGCATTTGCTTCTGCTTTTCCAGGAAAAAAGGACTTTAAATATATATTTGTGCGTGTATAGAAAGAAGTTAGGAGGACTACACACCACACTGTTAACGGTGGTTCTGCCTTTGCAAGAAGAGGGCTAACTTGTACTTTTTAATTTATATATTTATGTATATTGGACATTTTAAATAAATGAGAATGTATTTATTATTTTGCAGTTTTATATATACTCATCTTCATAGTTTTAGAAACTATAAAATACTTTATAGTTTTATAATTTTTTATAGTTTCATAAACCGTGAAATGTTTCCAAGTCACTTAATTTACTCTACAAATACGTAATAAACTAATGGATTGCGTTGTTTTGTAATAACTTCAAAATGCTTTTCAATGACTATATTTTCCAAATAATCTAGAAACATGCGCTAAGAATGATTTGTGAGTTTTCTCATACGAAGAATCATACATAGTTATAGGCATTAATTCACATTTAATTCTACATTTAACAAGTCAGCTTTATTTTAAAAGTAAAAAGCTCATTTATTAATACATGAAGAACTTCTGCAAATCAGCATGAAAAGAAATCACAATCCCAGAGAAAATTGGAAAATATGTGTGTGTGTGTGTGTGTGTGTGTATATATACACACACAGTACAGAAAATGTATATAAATATCCTCAATTTATGTAAAAATGAGAGGTTCTACATATATGCTTATCCATGTCTAGAATAGCTCAGGAAGGGCACTTAAGCAGGGAACCTACAAGGAGACTTGCAAATGGGTAACGAATTTTTACTGCACATTAACATATATAAAAGAATTAAACAGCAATTAAATAATAATGAACTGGGAATGCTCCAAAAATTCCAAAGCATATGATTGCTGTATATACCCTGAAAACACTAGCCTTGGGATAACAAGAAAAGGGTTTAGCTTAGTTTTTATAGAGTTGAACAGAACTAAATGGACCATGAAAGTCTAAAAAGGACTTTATTTTCATTGGTTGCCCCAAGAAAACATATAAACCAGTCAGTGACAGAAAAGGTATTTCGTGCAACACGAGCCCATTTTCCCCAAACAGGGAATTGAGTTTCCCATGTTGATTTAGCAGTTGGGGGACTGTGGGCAGGGCAGGACTGTCCCAGGCCACCTCTCCCATTGGTCTTGCCCGTCTCTGTCTCTACCATTTTCAGCCAAAATTCCAAAGGTCACTTGGAAAGCACATACCCCAGACACTCCCTTTCGGCTAGATAACCTCCCACGGCCCAGATCCCAGTGTGGATTCCTGGGGACCAGGGGACCTCCAACATGAGTCCTTGTCTACTTGACCAACAAGTAGAGGTGACACTGAACAAATTGAGTTTCCACAAACGTATCTTTAGAACCTAATTTTTATTATAATTGATTAGAAAATCCAGCTTACATTCCAAATGCAGTCTTTTTTTTTTTTTTTATCTTAGTCGAGGTGCAATAACGGTTAAACGAAAACCAGCATGACTCATGCTCCTATAAAAGTGTCCCCTTACGGAGTTCAGCGTGTCTTCGAACAAGGGAAACTGTCAGCCAGTCACATAGAAGGGGGTTGTTCTGGCCTCGTGCTTTTCTGGGGGCAGTTACTACAAGACGAGCTGGTCCCATGGAATCTGCCCACCAGCTCGCTGCCAGGGAGTGTGCACCCCGGGTGGACATTGCCTGAGCCATGTAAGCATCTTCCAGGGTGTGGGGATGTCCCACCTTAGGAGTCCCTTCACAGCTGGGATGAGGACGGTAATAAAGGCTCTGAGAACACACGCACAAGTGAGCGCCATCAGGGCACAAGAGAAGGACACAAAGGAGCAGGAGCCACTGGATTCTACTTTGTCGAGGACAGCCGAGAGACAGCCAGGGTCTGGGGCGTGTGGCCGTTGTCACCGGCTGCGCAGTCTCCAGACTGGATTCTCTGACCTTCCTCAAGACGCTGCCAACCTCCTAACATTCTCTATTACTTTTCTCTTTAATTGGACTGGATTCTGCTGTTTATGCCCAGCTTGGAGAAGCCTCTGACGTGGATGACTAACTAACAAGCACCTGGCCAAGTTCAACGTCACAGATGACTCCTTCTCCCTTCTCCCTCCAGCTATGGCCTTGGTCTTAACACCTGGCCCTCTTTACAAGCCATTTCTCACAACCAGGTTAAGAAAGAAAACAGACCATGGAGTTAGCGGCCAGTCTGAACGCCACACGCGCACGGTGACTTTGGCGAGTGGCTTAGCCTCTCTTGCTCAGTTTCCTCGTCTGTAAAATGGGGATAATACAGCCTTCTTCCCCTTAGAATTGTTGTGAGGATTAAATAAAATAACCCATTAATAGCACTTAGATAAATGTTGAGGATTAGCTCTCGCAACAAGGAAACAAAAGAAGACTCATATGGGGAATTAAAAAAAATCCTTATTAAACGAGATAAAAATCAAAATCCCTTTAGCAACTAGATCAGGGATTCTTGGCCATTTATTCTTCTGGCCACAGACAACTTTAGAATCAACCAAGAAAATTCCAATGATATATTCAACTATAAACTCTAGACAAAATCTAAAAACCAACTACAGGAGTACTCCAGAGATGGTGTAGGTTTGGTTCCAGGCCACTGAAATAAAGTAAATATCACTACAAAGTAAGTCACATGAATTGTTTGGTTTCCTAGTGCATATAAAAGTTATATTTATACTGTAGTCTGTTAAGTGTGCAATAGCATTATGTCTTAACAAACAATGCATATAACTTAATTAAAAAA